GCATCGGGGGTGAGTGAAACGCAGCCTAATTTAAATTTTTGACTGAACTAACCCTTTAATATATATTTTTAAGGACTCTTTGAAGAATAGAAAGTTCAAAACAACAGCATTTATTTGAAATAGGAATATTATGTAACAAATGTATTTGCTGTCACTTTTGATCAGTTTAATCCATCCATTCGGAATGAAAGCAATTTCTTAAAAAAAAAAAACTGGCATCTGAAATGAAATGTTACAAGAGCGCAGTGTAGCAGAGACTGCATGCCACATGCACTAGGCAGCCATGCACCCTTGGCTTGTCAAAATCGAACATGCTCAGCAAAATCATGTGCGGAAGCATTTCTCTATAAACACTGATTACATTCACTGTAAACACCATGATAGTGTGTTAAAGCATATGACAACAAGCACAACATTCCTGAGTAGAAACAACGCACAGCTGACTTTCTAAATGTATACAGATACGCCAGCTCTGACACACATTATATATATAAAATTAGTTTTGTGCCACTTTAGATGCATGTGAATTTGTGTTCACAGACTAGCAGAACAGTTAAAAAAGAGAATATTGTAATCCTCAGACTTCACTTCCTCCTGGGCAGATGGCCATCTGATAACAACATCTGATAACAACAGAGAGGCACCAGAATTCTTGGTTCATTAGGACTCATCTTTAAAAATAGAGATTTTGACTCATCCAGACAAGTACTCAAGTTTCACAACCATGGAAAGTAAGAGACTAATGTTACATGCTACAGGTCTTAAACGCCCTAAAATGACTTCTATCTGTCTGCATATCTTCCTGCTCATGCAATCGGGTGTTAGGTGAACCACATGTTCTATGAATGTTTGCTTATATGTATTTAAAAACTCATATGTAAAAAATGGAATAATAAATTTAGCTTCTTTAGCTCAAATCACACTAAATACTTCTTATGTTGGCCTGTCATATTAAACCTTGCAATTTCTCCCCATTCTGTCTCTGGAAGGCTAGCATGTTTAGGCTAGCAAATTTAGCTGACTTTCTAACCTCATCCAGACAGGCCTGTCAGCTCCTGCTAAAGAGAATATTACTCACACCATGTTTTTCAGTGTGTGAGTATGAGTTTGCATTCACAGACGCTTGAATTATTCTCCCAGGTGCTAGATATCCATTTCAATCCAAGACATCTGTATGCAGTGAGCAGACTTTAGTGCATACACACACACACAAACACACACACTTTTTTTTCTGCACTGGCAGAGCTGAGCTCTAGCAGGCGTCCTTGTAGAAGCAGAGTGCATTTATGCAGCTGTTAAAGCGAGTCCCTCCGGATGAGGAGAAACGCACAGAGCAGAGTGAAGGATATGTGAAGAAAACAAACAGGAGGAGGAGAGGTGAACGACTGCAATGCTCCATGCCCACGTTCTGCCTCCTCTCACTTCAATTCAACACCAAAGCTTTGATGCAAACTGTGAGGGAACAGCGCCCAAACGGTTCTAGCGCTGTATCAGTCAGTGGGTGGTGATCGGGAACCGTATGCTATTAGACAAGATAAACAGCAAACTATCGCTTGAATAAACACAGGGAGAAAGATGTGCTTTGAAATAGAAAATAATGAATGGTGTGTCACCATAAACTTTCTACAGTCTACAACAGTGGTTCTCAACAAGTAGGTGCTATTATTGAGTCATGGAAAGCTGGGAAAAAAAAAACTATGTTAATGCAAATAATAAAATGCAACTATATGATCATTCATATGTAGGACAACAAAATAAATACTTTTAACTTTTAAAAGGGAAGAAAAATGCTCTTACATCCATCTGTCACTTGGTAGAAGCCAAATTAGGCAGATGCCAACATGGACAGGTTGCACAACATGCCTTTATGCTCAAAAGCCATGAACAAAACTACACTGCAGAAAAATTTCCAGATAGATAGATAGATTACTGAGCAAAAGTATTATAGTAGTAATATCAGTAGTATAATAATAATAATAATAATAATAATATCACTATTTTTCACCACCACCAACAAAAAAATTTAAGCCAGTTATTTTCATCTTTTGCTGTAGTGCAGTGTTTCTCAACCCTGGTCCTGGGCGCCCCCCAACCCTGCACATTTTGTGTGTCTCCCTAATCAAACACACCTGATTCAACTCATTAGCTCATTAGAAGAAACTCCAGGACCTGAAATGGGTGTGTCAGAAGAGATCTGATCTCACCATCATCCAGTCCGTCTGGAGTGACATGACTTTTCACAGTACTGTAACTTTGCAGATAAGTTTCTTCAAGCATCTTGGAGCCGTTGCCACAGTTCTTCTGGATTTAGTCTGTCTCAGTTTTTTCTGTTTTTCATGTCACTCCAGATGGACTGGATGATGGTGAGATCAGATCTCTGTGTGGAGCACTGGCTGTTGTCAGACTCCTTGTGCATACAGAAATCTCACTGGATTATTATAATTAATGACAAAAGGAATGTTTGGAAATATAAACTGATATTTCCTACTGACACACTACAGCAAAAGAAGCATTGATTGTAGGTGAAAGACTTTTGCACATCACACTTCCATTTTTGTTTATACATTTACAAAACTGTCAATTGTCCGATGGTTGTGAAACTAGTTGTGAAACACTAAAACTAAAACACACACTGCAGGCACTTGTTGGATAAAAAGAAGGCTGAAATCAATAATTATTTTACTCTAGTAGTGGTTTAGCCAGCCAGATAACCTGCAAAGACAGGCCTCCTGGTTTGGCTACTAAACAATTAAGTGACACACTTAACCTCTTCTAGCTACTGTACATCCAAATGCATAGAAAAGTATTGCTACAATACATGATGCATTAGAGTATAGTTTTACCATCTAAGGAGTCTATAAACAGCCATAACTTTCCCTTTAAGAGGCTGGTAAGTGCTGAGGGAGAGTGGGAGCACTGATGAGATGAATATTGACAGGCTTTAAACTGCTGGAGCATACAGTGATTGAGGACACGGCCAATGTACATGCAGATGAATACAAATGGGATTTCACTCATGGAGGAACAACTAGACAGATTACAGTTACAGAGTTTAATATGCTGCAGCTTGCGGTAAGCTGCCCTTTTGCATCTACAAATGTCTTGATGTAATCAGGTATAAAGGGTGTTATTTTAAAAGGACCTGTCAAAAATAATTGTAACACTAAGACATTGATAATAAAGTGGATCTTATCAAGTACGTAGATGAAGTAGGACATACTCACCTCAGTCTTGCAGCATTGGATGTTTCTTCCACTAGTCTCTCTACAGCAAGGGATCTGTGAGTGATATAAAAAAAAACTCTCTTAACCTAGTATGAGTAAATGTCAACACAAAGAGTATACGAGCCTCCAAAACCCGTTATTCAAAATAAATATTGTGTACCCATCCTGAAACATGAGATTTACTTCCTCAGTAAAGTACATACCTGTTAGCACTGCTGGGAAGACATACAAATAATCTGAAAGTATTGGCAAATAAATTATATGTTACAATATTATAAAGGTGATCTACAGGTGATTTAGCATTTATAAGCAGTATGATGGAAAATGGATAATATGAATCATAAGATCCTGCTGGCGGGATGCTTGGCGCTCTTTTTTGTTGTTGTTGTTGTCTTTTTTCCCATCACATATTTTTGTAATCATTTGAAAGCTTAAAATTTAAAAATTAATTCTGTGAAAAACATTTAGAAATCGGACATTGCTTTACCATGGAAATGGTACTTTAAAATCTTTTAGCGGTCTCCTCCCCCTTAGTGGGCAGTGTCAAGTGTTATATTACAAAATGTATTACGGTATTTTACAATCTAAACCTTTTAATTTTATAGCAATTTTGGATTAAAAACTATTTTGTAAATATTTTAAAAAATTAGTACAGTACATTTTCTTTACAGTACATATAAACTTCTATAACTTTTTTATACTTTCATTTTTTTAAATGTTTTCACTTCTGCAATAATAATTATAACAATTAAAGTTTGGATAGTGCACTTTCACAAATTGGGGGTGACAGTTAAAGGGTTCAAATGAAAAAAATGAAAAAAATGTACCGCCTTGTTTCTGCTGTTGATTATATCTAGAAATATCACAAATAGCACATCTAGAAATTATTCAGTTTTGTGAATAAGACAATATCTACAGTGACTCATTCTGTTAAAACAGCTGAAGTTAAGTCTCTTAGATTATGGTCTTTCCTGTGACAGACAGGTTTGATTCAATTATGTTCAGATTCAGAGAAAATTTTGTAAGAAAATGGATTAAATCAATTGTGATATCCAAATTCAACCCAAACACTCTGAAGCCATCTTCCTGTTTCAGTGTTGACACTGTTAATGTGTACAGTATAATAAATCTACAGGAGCTTTTTTTTTTTTTTTTTTAAAGTAAAGCAATAACTAATTTAAAAACACAGAGCACTGTGCAATTTTACTGTTCAAAAATTTGTGGTCAGTAATATTTTTTTATTTAAGGAATTAATATGTTTATTCAGCAAGGGTGATGAAAAAAGTAAATTGATCAAAAGTGACAGTAAAGACATTTATAATGTTACAAAAAAAAACTATATTCAAATAAATGCTGGTCTTTTGTACTTTCGAATAAATAAAAGAAACCTGAAAAAGTAGTACAGTTACGTATTACAGTTTCCACAAAAATATTAAACTGTGATCAGCATATTAGAATGATTTCTGAAGGATCATGTGACACTGAAGTCTGGAGTAATGGCTACTGAAAAATTACATTTTAAAATATATTCCAATAGAACACACTTACCTGAAATTACAATAGCATTTCACAATATTATTGTTTTTACTGTATTTTACAAATAAATGCAGCCTTGGTGAGCATGAGACATTTCAAAAACATTAAAATAAAAAAAAAAACTTTTTGGTTAAAAAATATCAAAAATATCATGAATTTTCTAGGTGTTTCTGGAGAGTGGGAGAGTGATACAGCACACAAAACATAAGCCAATGCTCATTCTAACCAAGTTTTCCTGATTACAATTATTACATGCAGAACTCTAGACATTTCTAAGCTTAGTGAACAGAAGACAGCAGCAGCAGACAAGCTCAAGTGATTTCCCTCTGTAAGAGAAGAATTACAGCCCTCTTTTCCAGCAGGAATCAAGACTGCCCTCTTTTCAGAAGTATGATGTGGACAAAAAGGCCACTTATGAAAAAGTCAAGCACTCCACATGCAAGAAAAGATGTTTGAGTCTTTGGACTGCGGCGAGCTCTGACAAGCCCATTATGTCGGCTAGGCCTGGATTTCAGAGCATGTCACAGGGCCCTTGGGTCTGGTTTGCTGTCTTAAGCCACAAGACTTAATTCCAAACATGAAGCAGCTATTCAAGTCAGCAAGGAAACAAAACAGAGCTGCCAACAGATTCAAGTGGGATGGGGATTTCAGAGGAGGCTGTCAGAGAATGCCAGCGTGAGAGGATGAACAGCCAAACAAAGACTATTCTCAGAGAGAAACTTCAATTGTACGCTCTGCAAAGATGAAAGAAAGAATTGAAAATTGAGCTATACAACAGAGAGAGACATAAAGAGATATGCCCTACTGGATATTAGACAGGTACAACAAAGACAACCGCTTAGAGACAGTCTGAATCCAGACACTAATTTAGACACATTTATAACACATTACAGTCCATAAAGAATACAGCGTCCCCTCAGCAAATGGTCCAGGGCCTTTCTGCTATCCATCTACTTAAAGGGCCGCCTGGAACATGAAATGTGAATTTAGTAGCCACTTATATATGACAACAATACCTTTTATGGATTATGCACAGTCAGGACATGCTCATATCATCCACCTACATGAACAGGAGATACTATATATAATAGGCGTAGTAGTTCAGCACTGAAATTGTTTTAGTGTTGTTGGAATATATAAATAAAAGGAAACAAATGATTTTGTCACAACAATCACAACAATATATAATTTATTTCGATTGTGAACACTGAGTACATTTATACCCCTTCTGGGGATTAAAAAGTGTGTAAAAATAAGAATTTATCAGCATGTGTCAATATTGGATACTTATTGACTGATATCTAATTGTGTCTATTTTTAGATACATGTACGTTTGCCATCATCTAGCGCTAACTTAAAGGGTTTGGAGTATTTTACGGCAAAGAAGCAACCCTTTAAGGGGCCATTTTTCAGTCATTGGTCATAATATGAAATATTTATATCAATATTGGCCAGAATATTAATAACCGTTTTTATAATTAACATCTAATATTAGTCTCTTATGCTCAACAAGACTGTATTTATTTGAAAAAATACAGCAAAAACAAAAAATGTTGTGAAATATTACAATTTAAAATAACTTTTGTATTTGAATATTTTTTCAAAAGTAATTTATTCCTGTGATTGCAAAGCTGAATTTTCAGCATCATTACTCCAGTCTTCAGTGTCACATGATCCTTCAGAAATCATTCTAATATGCTGATTTAGTGCTCAAGAAAGATTTCTCTTGAGTATCAATGATGAACACACTATAAACACTTCTGTGGAATACATTTCTTTTCAGGATTCTTTGATGATTAGAATGTTTAAAAGAACTACATTTATTTAAAATAAATTATAAATGTCTTTATTGTCACCATTGTTCAATCTAATGAATCCTTGCTAGAAAAAAAATCCCTTACTGTCACAAAACTTTTAAAAAGTGATGTATATGTGAATTGGCACCTTTTTTTAAATTCACATGAATTTATTCAATTATGGCTAAATACTAATTAAATAAATAATAAATAAAACGTAAAAATGCAGATCTGGGTGAACAAGCACTAATGACTGCACGGGAAAAGCATGTTGTATTTACTCCAATACATGCACAACCTAACTCATCGGTGGATGTTTCTCTCAATACAAAGCAACACGTCATTAAAACTGAGGCTGAATTTTCTAAGACTTACTGTACAAGACACGATATGTGAAGTTCACAGTATCACACATCCAGCTAACAGCTTTAATGTCTGAAGCCCCGGGCATGTGCACTGACCTAGACAGCACTACTGCTTATGGCCAGACCTAACAGCTTTAACTAGCATTGATGTGTGTGTCTGTGCATGTGTGTGCATGCTGAAATCTACCAATGTATAGCATTCACAGCCTACTGGTAAACCCAAGCTGCAAGCATACATTTTACTGTAACATGTATAAAGAAGCTACATTAATAAGAAAGTACCATGATTTTAATGGAAATGCACCATGTTAGTCATCGAGTATAAGAGAAAATGTTTAATTGTATGTAACATTGTAATCTGGTTAATCTAGTATAATGGTGACTCATGATCTACATATCAAGCAAGTACAGTGACTGAGGGAAAGCTTAATTCATACTGTAATGGACAGCAGAGACTAATCCTCACTGCTGATGTAGTGTGATCAGAATGATTCATTAATCTCTGGTAATCCCGCACTAAGAATGGACACAATAAGAGGACAGAGATACAGGAAGGAACAGGCTAGAGTGACAACAGGACGCTGATGACAACAGAGAGAGAGAAAAAGCACTGTGACAGTGTGTCAATAAACCTTTTAATCTATTTATCTGCTGCACTGTAAACCCTAATAAGGTAGCAGAACTTTACATTTTAATTTGGCACTACACAAGCATGTTAATTGCAATCAAATTGAAATATTGGCTAAACCAACTCATACAATTAGACTGCATAAACATCATGTTAACTCATATTAACTTTTACAGCCCATCGAAATTGCAACATAACAGAAACTCCTATAAATCCCATCATAACAGAGCATTAAACACTAACTAACACATCTCTCCCTATACACAAAATAACACTTAAATTCAACATTTATTCTCTTTATACAATCTAATGCAAAGCATACTGGGAACTAGAAATCCGCTGCAACTCATTCAGTTTAAGTTCAGCTTATATACGTAACTTTTTTTCTATGAAGTACAAGGAACTTTCAGTAATATCTGAGTGAAATGAAGCAATTTCATGTCATTAGAAATTAGACGAAAAGCCCAAATAAATAAAGATAATTTAAAGACAATACTGTAAATCACTGTGGCAGATGAGTAGATATTATAAAATGTGGCTGTCAATATATATTTTTTATTTATATAAAAAGTATTTATATTTTTTAATCAACATATTTTTTATTTTCTTCCATGTTGAGCATAAGCCTAACACCGACCAACAGTCACAGTAGTGCTGGGCGGTATGACCAAAAATTTATGTCACGGTATTTTTCTAAATTATACCGGTTTCGCGGTACATGATGGTGTT